TGTTTTGATGTGACGTCATAGTGAAATAGGGCAATTTCCGGTAATCGTACTACCAGTAACTTGATAGCAGATTAAAGTAAACGTATAACGCAAGTAACTTGCAAGAGCAGCTTAAAATTCAAAGAATCTAACGTAATAGTGTAACGCACGCCCTAGTAAACAGTAAGACTGGTCATCATCAGTAAAGTCAACTCATCCACAGGGAAGACTTTAAGAGCTTGAAACCCCCCGGTGGGGGGGGGGGGGGGTACTTTTGCCAGCTTAGGGTAGGGATGTGCTGCTGAGCCCACTGAACCCTGACCCTGTTCCAGAGTAAAATCGCTGAAATTCATACCCTGTTGCAGAGCAAGATAGCTAAAAACCCTGTTCCAGAGAGGAGACAGCGTGATTTCATATACCCTGTTCCAGAGCGAGCGCGATTTTATATACCATGTTCCAGAGTAGAATCGCTGAAAACCATACCCTGTTTGGCGGCACGTACCCGTATAGCGAATATAGGGGAGTACCCCCCACCCCGGGTTGAAACCCCAAAGTGAAGTAATTTGCAATTCCCGGTTGACGCCGCCGTCGCAGATTTTGCAAATCTTAAAGTCCCTACTGACTTAAGTACTGTGACGTCATAGTGAGTATGCAGTCAGAATATATAAATATATCCACATAAGGAAGGTTTCTTACCTGTGAATGAGCAACCTCATGAAGATAATAGGATGAACAAAGCTTGGATACATAGTCAGAATGAAGTCTACTATCTGGTCATCTGTGGCCTTTTTGTTGCTAGTGCCGTTGGTCCTGGTGTTGGTCTTTCTCTCCTGATTAGACTTGCTTCCTTTGGGAGAAGAGGGCTGTAAACGAGTTCCACCCCAGAGAATGGAAGGGTTGTTGGTCGCTATCTCTACTATCTTCTCGACTGTTGCTCCCCTGAAGGAGAACGACAAAATAGGTAAGAAAAGTATGTAAATAAATAGACCTCTTCGGCTCTGAAGTAATGTTGTCCCATTTCAGACCACATGTCATTCTCTAGAGTATCATTTCTTTGTTTAAGGTTTGCGCTCGGTTGCACATGAGAAGACACATGAATATGGATACATCTCAAACAAAGAATCTTATTCTCAAGAGAATGACACGTGGTCTAAATGGGAAAACATTACCCCAAGCCGAAGAGGTCTATTGCTAAATAAAAGAAAACGCAAATCGCACGCACGAACGTACTTAAGACGAACAAACGAGCGAACGATCGAAAGAACGATCAATGGTGGTGATGATGACGAACGAACGAACTAAAGACAAACGAACGAACGAACGAACGAGCGAATGAACGAACGAGCGAACGAACGAACGACGACCGACCGACCGACGGAACGACTGCACGAACGAACGGAGAACCGACCGCACGCACGGTTGGAAGAGCGAACGAACCAACAAACGAATCAACAAGCAAACCAACCAAGCTACCAACCAACGAACCCGATATTCTTTGGTATAGAATTCTGTGGTATCACCTGCTTTCCCTAATTTGCTAACTTCCTTAACGTGAATCAAGAAGGTCGGTGAGATATTAAGAAGGACTTTGAGAAAGTCTAACACAACGTGTTAATACCACTTACTTGACATATAGGTGTTCAGAGCCTGTTGTATCGGCAAATATCACATCAATCTTGTCTTCCCTAGTAATATGCTTGAAAAGATATATACCATTCACTTCCATGTGACCAAGATAGATAAGACACCTTGCAGCATGGTATGTGATCCTATAATAACAAAAACATCAGTTTTATCTACGAGTCGCATGCGATGATGAGTCCAGGAATTGATCCCGAGAACCTAGAGGTGAGAGACGAGTGCACTACCGCCACACCACCCTTTAAATTCCCCAATAATTAGGGATAAAACATTGGTATATCAATAGTTATTTATCAGAAAAGTAAACGTCATGAAGAATCTGGAATCAATTTCCACATCCTTTTAAGGAGATGAAAAAGTAACCTCACCTTGGGTCGCTGTTGCTAAGAAGATGTTTCATTGCATCGACACACCCTGTATTCTTCATCTTAAAAAGAAACAGAGCAAGTTTAAATATGCATGGTATATGTATGATAAACTTGATGAAGACAGTGATGATGGTGAGATGATGATGGTAATAATGAGGGTGATGATGATAATCATGGTGATGATGATGGTGGTGATTATAATGATGCCTGATGATGATGATAATGGTAGTGATGATGATGGTGGTGATGATGATGGTGATGATGGTAATGATGATGATGATGATGGGGATGATGAAAAAGCGAATTATAATAAAGTAAATAACGCACAGAATAGAGGTCAACATATTTCTCTACCTGCATATGGTTATCAATATTCATTGCAATATTAGCAAGAGCTGCCGTCGTATACACCACAATATCATGATTACTATCTTGTAGAGTCTCCAGCATCAGCGTCATAGGCCGCTCTTTGCCGAGCTCTTTCTGCATCTTGGCGTTCATAGTTGTAGCAGCCAACATCTTGGTCGCAACGAGTCTTGGAAGGTTCTTATTATACATGTCTGGGCAAAGGTTAGACCAGGGGAGATGGCCGTGACCATAAGAGCTACAAAAACAGAATGGAAGGTTCTTAGTATACATGTCTGGGCAAAGGCTGGACCAGGGGAGATGGCCGTGACCATAAGAGCTACAAAAACAGAATGGAAGGTTCTTAGTATACATGTCTGGACAAAGGTTAGACCAGGGAAGATTGCCGAAAGAGAATGGAATAATAACACTCACTTATATCACAGAAAAGATTAATATAATAAATAGTAGCTGTTTAACAAATTGTAATCAGTTTTTTGTGCCTGTCCTCTCGTTGACGATAATTTGCTTTATCACATTGCCAAAGTAGTGTGAATCCACAATGCGTAGCCGACAGCTCAAATGTGTTTTCTCTTGGTGATTATAAAAAATTGCCAATCAGCGCGCGAGAAATTTCTAAGTTATTGTAAAATAATAAATGTTGCGTTCTGATTAGTTGTGAGTGCATGCTTTATGACAGCACACAGCACGCGTTTTTTTTTTCTTCTTTTTTCCTTTTTTAAGATAAGACAAGCAAAACAAATTTTTCCGGCATGCTCCGTTCAGTCACACAGGACTTAATGGAAGCACGAAATAAGTGTGAAAAGCATAATGATTAAATGAATGATTTAACGAATGAAAAACGAAACAACGAACGAAGGAACAAACGGACGAAAGAATGAATGAATAAAGATAATTCTTGGAAGAAAAAAACGAATAAACAAAGGAAAGAATGAATGAATAATAGACTGCGAGCTAAGTCCCTCCATTTCCCTCGGTCACTGTCCGTCTGTCTGTCCATGTCGATTGGTCGAGGAAGATTGGGACTTTTGACTCGTAACCAATCTTCCTCGACCAATCGACACGGACAGACAGACGGACAGTGACCAAGGGAAATAGAGGGACTTATCTCGCAGTCTAAATGAATATAAAGGAGCAGATGAATAAAGGAGCGGATAAATGAATGATTAACTAACCTGTACAGCGAGTACTGATCCCCCTCAGCAGAGCTCGCCATGCTTGATATACTACTTCTTTTCTGGAAGATTCGCCGCATCTCAGGACGTCCATCAGAAGCCCCTGAGTTATTCCTCTGTACACTCCCAGGTGACAGCTCTCGGTGGCTATGCCAATCATCATGAGAACCTCTACTGCAAGTGCTAGCCTTCCTGCGACGTCCACGCTCAATAGCTGCAGTGTAAGGCGGCGGAGAGTCTGTTGCTCGCATGTCAAAGGCGCTGTCGTTGTCACTGATGTGTAAGAGATTAAGTAGTGGTTCTACAGGAATACTTTGTAATGCCGCTGAATACTCTCGATCGTTATCAAAGTCGAGGATGTTATGTAAAATGGATAGACAAGTGCTCTGTATAGGTTCTACACCATCTACGAGCTTTAAAACTGTTTTTATGAGTCCTGCTTCGACAGATCGTTTCCGACTCTCTGGTCCTTCGAGATTAAACAAGTTCCCAATTAATAGCGCGATATTTTCTGCAACCATTGCCGTCAACATTGGCATGTGTGATAGACTAATGAGTTGTGACGAAGCCCTGGGTAGACATAGATAAGCTAAAAGGCTTGCGTGACACTCAGGGTTACCAGAGAGTAACACAACAGATTTAAGTGCCTCGATGATAGGGTCCTCGTCACGGTTGCCATGGGAAGTAGAACTCATGTAAGAGCTGTCTTCACACTCTGAACTGTGGTGACCACCCTAGAAAAGATATCATAAACAATTACAAAAATAAAATATATGACATAATACTACTAGGTTGATCTCCTTTAAAAGCTAGTATCTCAATATGAATAAGTTAGTACCAAGACGAATAGCAGTTGATAATATACCGTTCTGTACAAAGCCATGGCTTTATATAAGGCACCCCAGTAAGACAGCATCTATTCTGTCATGCCAGGGTGGGAGGGGGGGGGGGGGGCCTTTTTTTAATCCCCCCCAAAAATTTTTAGCCCGCCCCCCCGGATATTTCCTTTCCCCCCCCCCCCCCCCTGGCGTACATTATGATTGCAATCTTATTAGCAGTAATAAGTCTCTTTAGTTGTAAGCCTACTGCTGGTAACTCGCGTACATGGTATTGATGACACATCAAATTAAGAAGGATTGGGAAAATAAATAAAAAAACCTTCACTGTTTCCTCTTCACTTCATTTTTTTAATTATAAAAAACCCTTATCAATGAGCACTAGCCATTCCGATGTCAAGTATAAAACTGGTATCAGCCATTCCAAAGTCAAGTATAAAACTGGACATATTTCAAAAATGGCATCTGTATTTGGTTCCCTAACTACGTCCCACAAGGCACTACAATGCCAACTGGACCACGTTTTCCCTCAACCTCGGAAATCCCAGGGTCTATGACCAGGATCTTATAGTAGAACAATAACATTTTGAGGCACAACTTACCCCTGAATGTTCTGACTCAATACTATGCTGTCTAACACTTTTCGCTTTTCTTTTCCTTTCCAGACCAATATTAGCCGGTGAAACAGGTCTTTCTACTCCACCTACTGTGTCATCCTTCCTTTCCTTTCCACCCGCAGCAACATTACCAGCAATACTCAAACCGTCGTCATTTTTAGTCAAATCCATCACATCCTCAGGACAAGGGAGTACTTTCTCAGTGCTGTATCGAGCAAGATCACTATTGGAGCGTTTTTTCGTGACTTGGGGAATATAATTATCATCATTTCCATGTTTTTCATCTGTTCCATGAGAATCAGTGGTATTCATTCGTAGATTGGCTTCTATTCTTGCATTAATTTCAAGTTGAAATTTATGGTCAGCGGGGTATCGTTGGAAACTAAGCGATCTCCGTAGAGGTCGTTTTCCTCTACCTGGACAAGGACAGATATAAGGAAATAGAATTAGAATAACGATTCACAAGTAATAGAGTGATTTAGCATCAAGACGCGAACGTCAAAAGACGACGGCGCTAGTGCATTTTTTCGTGCGCGCCCCGTCCTGAATGTGGTTGACGTCCTCAACAGGACGCCATTTGCAGCATACTACGTTGAGGACGGCACGAAAAAATGCGCTCGCGCCGTCGCCTTTGGCGCTCGCGTCTTCATGCTAAATCTCTCTAATAAAGCACGCAGGAAGTTACGAAAGCATGAAAGAAGTGTAAGGAGAAGCACAAGCCGTAGGTGGGTGCTTTTCACACTTCTGGAGTACAAAAGCCTTGCATAGAAGTGTGCCAAAACTTTAAATCTGGTCATACTTTTACAAGTTGCGCTGTAATATGAATTGAGGCTGTGCGCAGTCACGTGACGGCAGCCATGACAGGAGGCAGGAACAATTGAATCTGGTGTAATCTGATTTACATGAAAAAGAATTCAGTTTCCCAGGGCAAAAAAATACTCTATTGTTATGCCTCCTGTCATGGCTGCCATCACGTGATGGTGCAAAGCCTCTATAGGTCACATCAACATGAAATGAAAATATGTTGCTAATGGACTTACCAAGCTGAGGACTTAACATACGTGAAACATGTATGCTCTCAGATCTTTTAATCCCTCGAGCACCCTCAGTACTACTCCTCACTAGACCCCCCCTGGGGATAGAACACATGCTAGATGACAGACGTCCATTACGTAGTGAGTTGATGCGTTCAAGTCTTGGGGATTGGTTGGAAGCGGCTTTTGAACGAAAGCTTCCTGCTGCCGTTGGTTGGTTGTGGGATGAGGCGTTGGAGTTGGAGCGAGATTTGGACAGGTCGGCTGCTGTGAACGCCTCACAAGCTGATTGGACAAGGAGACGCTGCATTTCTTTGAGTTGCTGAAGAATGATATAATGATATACAATAATCTTTTAGTCAATATATAACTCTAGGTCTGCTACATAAAGGGAAAAGAACTCGATGAAGTTCCAAAATTTATGAGGTAGTAATTTATGATGATGGCAATGATGAGGATGATAAGAATGGTTTTGATAATGATGGTGATGGTAATGGATATGATAATGATAATAGTGGTGATGGTGGTGATGATGATGATGGTAATGATAATGATAATAGTGGTGATGGGTGATGATGAAGGCAGCAATGATGATGGTGATGATAATGATGGTAATGGTAATGATAATAGTGGTGATGGGTGGTGATGAAGGCAGCAATGATG